AGGAGGCACTCCAACTAGCGTACATGACTTGTGCACCTTCTCCGCTTTCTGAAATAACATCGCCAGTCGCTCCGTCCCTAATCCCTTCCTGCTCATCTGGTGCGCAGTGCTCCCGGCAGTAGCCGCCGCTGTGCCCGCGGGGCTGGCGGTACGCTCGTCCCGCGCCTCGCCGTTTGCCGATCCCTGAGACAATCCTCGGCTGCCCATGTAAACCGGGTAATTTACCCGGTTTACATGGGCAGCCGAGGATAATTCGAATTAAGATCGGAACGGATCATGCGACGTTAACCCTCTCGGCGAGGGGCGTTTACATGGGCGAAACCGGCTTTACGTCGGATTAACGGTCGATAGTTCGATCCCGCTTAGTTCGAATCAAGGAACGGATTATGGGCGAAAACTGCGCTTTTGAGGCGAACTGAACAAAACAAGAAGAAAAAAGCAGGTACTCTGCGTATGGATGGCGAATGTCACGAGCCATGGTGGGCGCGAGACAGCTTTGAGGGCGAGGAGGAAGATGGACTCCGTTGGAAAAATGATATGTGCGGGACTCATAGGCTTTATAGCTACAGCACAAGCCATAACACTTGAAACACAAGAGTTGCGCAGTCAGCACTGCCAAATCTGTCACATAAGCAGTGTTATATGCAATTTTTTACTAGCGGGAAACTTTGGCTAGCAGGAAATCAGTATTTTCTTGTATTGGCCAATGACACTCACAAACTTACCACACTCATATCAGTATGCCACCCAGCATCATGTCATCTACTTTGCGCAGCCCAAGAAACACATTACCTACTCCCACACTAATGCATTTATGAGCAGCCTGCAACAGTGAGCTAAGCTACAGAAATGACTCATGAATGCTACATAGTTTGTGGCAAAAATTGTGTAACTATGTTGTCTTTCCCCATCCAATGCATCATCAGTACCTGAGGGCAGCATTGCCATTTAGACTTGGCATGGACTGGCAAGTCAGAATGCAGCTATTTGCTTTCTTGACATAGTAGGGTTGAAAAACTGCTTTGATATCCTTGCAGTCAACAGCATTGGCTGATATGGACTGATGGCTAGGTGGCACAAACAGCTGTGTTCGCACAGTCCAAAGATCATAACATGTGAACCAGCCCCAGAGCTGTCATGACAAAAGCAATCTGGGCTCAAAATTCATAACAAATGATTAATTACAACAACAGCTCAATTATCCAGCTCATGGTTTGCAAAGATACATGTCACAAAAAGCACCAAGGTAACATATTTACTCACCAGTACAAAAACAGGTAATGATGTGCACCACAGATGTTCTCTGCTTATCATGTGGCATTATGTTGGGTTTACTTAGTTTATGCACTGTTTTCTCCCACATGAAATGCACAAACCTGGATTTGACAGAGTACTGATGACAGCTA